CTGGTAGCCCTTCCTAGGTACATAGCTATCTGAGGATATCTATGTGCCAGCTCAGTGACTGCTCCCTTCTTAGGGTCTTTAAGTAGCGGTCTCCTTAAGCCCTTGCCTAGACAGTGCTATCTCCCCTGCACTGGTATTAAGTAGATAGCCGAGATAGCCTTCCTACAGAGCTGCCCAGACCACAGAGAGTGGGCTATGTTATTCTGGTCCACAAGCCTTCATAAGACCTTAGGGACATAGCTATCTGAGAATAGCTGTGTTCAAGCTCAGCAGCTACTCTCCTTACCTGAGATTTATGTAGCGATCTCTAGCCCCTCTAGAGGCTTTCTAGTTAGCCTCTTCAGTGCTCTTGTGTATCCAGGCTAGTTCTGCTCACATAGCATATCTATCTAAGGATAGCTGTGCTCTTAACTTGGGTGGGATGTTCCCCTTGATCTATTCGGGTTCCCCCGTTTCTGCCAAGTTGCGTGAGTGACCCGTGGCGTCAGTGGCATGGCCCCTTTCTAAGGAAAGGCTTGGTGTATGTTTGTCGCTTCCTTAGTGCTCTCTCACCAGGTGGACAGGCATGCGCCTCGGCACGGCATGGTTGGATTTCTTTCCCCATTGTGCCCCCTAGGGGGCGCAGCGCTGAGTTCCCTAGAAGGGTAACGTCTCGGGTTACGCATGTAACCATGGTTCCCCGAGAGGAAATAAGACGCTGCACCCCCTTGCCATGCCTTCTTCCTGCCTGTCTATGTCTCCTTCAGACAGCTAAGTGGATGACGTATTCAGCAGGTGCCCTTTTATACTTCCGGGCACCCTGCCTATGATGGGCCTGACGTCATGGGCCATGTGGGCCAATAGATTGGCATTGTTTCACACGTGCTTCAGACACCGGTCATGCAGGCTGCATTCCCCATTGCCCCCCCCTAGTGGGCGCAGCGTCTCGTTCCCTCTTGGGGGAACCATGGTTACATGCGTAACCCGAGACGTTTCCCTTACAACAAAGTAAATAGCAGTAAATGGAAATGGCAAAAAGTTCCCAGAATGCTGTTTTTTACAGTATGGTACAATTTTAATGGAAAACAGTATGTTACTGTCACTTTTTACAATGTGAGGTTAACATGTATTTCATTTTTTCCCACTGTAGACCTGATGTCACTGAAAGAGGAGAGACAAGAATTGAATGAAATAGAGGAGAAGGATCAGTATGAGGAACGTAGTAATTTTATAACTGGAAAAAAAAACATAAAGACTGCAAAGACTTCCTCACGAAAAAGAGCCCAGAAGACCAAATCTAACACCTGCCATCAGTGTGGAAAGAGTTGCCGTGGAAAAAAAGCCCTTGAAGAACACATGAGAATTCACACTGGAGAGAAACCTTTCACCTGCCCTCAGTGTGGAAAGAGTTTCAGTCACAAATGGAACCTTACAAGCCACATGAGAATTCACACAGGAGAGAAGCCTTTCACCTGCCCTCAGTGTGGAAAGAGCTTCAGTCAAAGGGGGCACCTCATAAGCCACATGAGAATTCACACTGGAGAGAAGCCTTTCACCTGCCAACAATGTGGAAAACATTTCACTCAAAAATGGAGCTTTTTAAATCACATGAGAATTCACACTGGAGAAAAGCCATTCACATGTGATCAATGTGGAAAGAGTTTCACACATAAAGACACCCTAAATGCTCACAGGAAGAATCACTTTGGAGAGAACAGCTGCATATGTCAGCAGTGTGGAAAGATTTTCAGTAATAAAGTAAGCTTCAAGACTCACATGAGAGTTCACACTGGAGAGAAGCCTTACACATGCTCTCAGTGTGGAAAGAGTTTCAGTCACAAATGGAACCTTACAAGCCACATGAGAATTCACACTGGAGAGAAACCTTACACATGTCAACAGTGTGGAAAGAGCTTCTCACGAAAAGAAGCTCTTAAGAGTCACATGATCATTCACACAGGAGAGAAGCTGTTCACATGTGATCAGTGTGGAAAGAGTTTCGGACGTAAAGTAAGCCTTAATCAACATTCCTTAATTCACTTCAAGAGAGAACTGTTTTAGATGTTGTCAGTATGAAATGATTTTCACAGACAGGAAAAACCTTATGCATCATGTAATAACTGGAGAGAAGTGTGCCATCACTATCTATGTTTACCCAAATAATAAATTGGTAATCTCTCAACTCCTCCATGTCTTGCTCATTGCATCTGTAGCCAGGTTTCCATCCAGGGATTTTTTATTTTTAATATTTAGCGCTTAAAATTTTTTACCGTGAAATTATGTATGGAAACAGCTCAAGGGCAATTTTTTTTGCGATACACCAAAACTTATGCAACAATTAATTTTTTTTAGGGATGACGTCATCACACACACCATTTTATCGGTAAAAGGCCAGTTGGATGGAAACAGGCTGGAGACAGCAATTTTCGCAAAGTTTTTTTTACGCATATTCTCTTTGTCGATAACAAAACAGTGGAAAAACTGGATGGAAACTTGGCTTGTGTTTAACAGAAACATTATTTTCTCTTACAAGAAAACGATGAAAGATCAAGTAAAGTTGCTTTCATATGGACTTGCTTCATAAAAAACTGGGAGAGAATGTAGAGTGATTTTCAAGACTGGAAAATGTAAAAAAAATAAATAGTCATGGTGGAAAGTACTTAAAGGGTTAGTTCACCCAAAAATGAAAATTAGGCTGTGTTTTACTCACCCCCGAGGCATCCTAGGTGTATATGACTTTCTTCTTTCAGACGAATCCAGTCGGAGTTATATTAAAAATTGTCTTTGATCTTTCAAGCTCTATCATTTCAGTCAGCGGGTGTTGCATTTCTTCAGTTCAAAAGACCTGAAATAAAAAGCGCTCTTCCATAAAAAAAAGTGTCTCACACGGGGGGGTGAACAAAGGCCTTCTGTATCGATGCGTTTTTGTAAGAAAAATATCCATATTCAAAACTTAATAATCACTTTAATCTAGCTTGCGCCAACAGTTGTACACGGAAGCAGCTCCGGGAGGATGACGTATGAGGTCAGCGTTGCGCAGGTGAGTTTCGTGAAAACCAACGTTTGTTTACAGGATCAAAAGAAGCAAAGTTTCCTTTAGCACACACTCTGTGTTTCTGAAACTCATCACTAAATAAGATTTATATTATAATATGTAGCTATATTATTTAATATTATAAGAATAAAATATACTCTAAATATTAATCATTATGCCATGGTCTGTCTGAATACTCGATTCTGATTGGCTGGCAGGTGTTGATTAAATTAGTTTAACTGCACAGGTAGTTCCAGGTCAGTTTAATCACGTTCTATATTAATGCGCTTCCTAATGCCATGGTCTGTCTGAATACTCGATTCTGATTGGCTGGCAGGTGTTGATTAAATTCGTTTAACTGCACAGGTAGTGCCAGGTCGGTTTAATCACATTCTATATTAATGCGCTTCCTATAAACATTGGTAACCATAGTAACATACAGTTACAGTTGAATAGTAATACAGAGTGAGACAGTTACAGTAAACATTTCCGATTTACTTAGCTAGGCTAAATGGATGATTTTCGCGTGTCATTTAGCTTATACGGTCATTATGGCAATTTTGATAAATGGGCAGAGGCACAAGATGAACTGTACGAACTGGAGAATATAACATCAAACGAGAACCTGCAAATACATAGACTGTGTGCCATGTGTTTCCAATTATTCCAACCAGCCGCAAATCTCCACCATCCAGTCCAGTGGATGGCAGGACATGCCCCTTAAATGCTCAGTGTGTCCCACCCAGTTGGCTGGTTTTGAATTTGATTGTGCGAGTTTTAGAGTGGCCTTTTATTGTGGCCAGCCTAAGGCACACCTGTGCAATAATCATGCTGTCTAATCACCATCTTGATATGCCACACCTGTGAGGTGGATGGATTATCTCGGCAAAGGAGAAGTGCTCACTAACACAGATTTACTGTGTTACTAACACACCTCACATCTCCATCCTTGGCCAGAAGGATGACGGAGAATTTCATTGAGGCTGAACAGTGACTGTCTTGACAGCCTAAAAACTGTCTCCAAGTCTCTGGTGCCATCAAATATTCTTTCGAGCTCTGGGACCCGTTCATTCACCTGCATGTACCTCACATGTCAAATTTCTGACAATTTCATGTGTCGCACTTTATTAGTGTCTGTGGTGTTATGTTGATAACTTGCAGATCTGACATATTTTAATCAAAATTTTGATATAGATTTATTTAGTATCCAACAAAGACACTTACAATGACATTTACACACCCTTGTACAGTAGGTGGCGGTATGCACCTAAAAGTTGTTTGCAATCCGCCATTAACCAAGAGAAGAAGAAACGGGACTTTTATTTTGGTCTGGCGATGTGACGTCATAAAGCTGCGTCGCGCTCCTGCATTTCTTGTGATTCGGCTGAAGAAAGGTTTGTGTTACGTTTTTAAATCAATGCAAACTGTTCTATCAACTTGCACGTTTTTACAAGCTACATAAAGTAAATGAATTAAATGTTGTATTACTTTTTTAACGTTATTTCTGTGAGTAAAGCGCATCCTCATATTAGTAACAGAAAGAAGAAAGAAGTGAGAGAAACCGAGAATCAGAATCATCTGAACCGAGTCATTTGTAACATGATTCAGTGATTCGAAGCGCTCGAATCAGCGCGAGCTGAAGACAAACGAGAACAACAAACACAAACTGTGTAATGAAAACATTTTGCAGCTGGTTTGTAAAAGTTGGCATGTAAGTGTAATCTATTTAATATTATGTACAAGTAATTGAATACCAAATATAAATCATAAATACCTAAATATTAACTATGTATAATTTGTATATTTTAATCAGGTCATTTAAGTCCATTAACTCTCAGAACTAGGGAGCTTATTGAGATGCACCCAGAGATTTAGTTTGCATTAATTTTTGAGAATAATTTACTTTCTGTTAATTACTCCCATCTTAAACGGGACAAAGAAAAAAAAACTGCTGAATCAACTGAGATCCACGTGACACACTATTATAAAGATGGAGTTTATTAAAGAGGAGAGTGAAGACATGAAGATTGAAGAAGCATTCAGAGTCAAACATGAAGATACTGAGGAACAAACAGGTTGGTTTTTATTCTCAAAGCTAAACTCACTCCTTTGATCCTTATTAAAATGCCCAGCTCTACAGAAATGAGTGATATTTGTGAATGTCACACGAGTGTAGTAATTAAAGTGTCATGAAACCCCAAAACACATTTTTTGAGATGTAAACATATACCCATAACAGGTTGCACATCAGTGAAAAACAACAATAGCACTCATTATGTCTATTATTAAGGGGCTTTATGCAACACCTAATGGGTTTTAAGGGATACTTAAGGGTTTCTTTAGGTGAAATGTCATAAACCCTAAGAATTTCTCTTAAGTAACATTTAAGGGATATTTTATGCAACGCCCATAAAGTGTAAGGGAAACTTAAGGGCGATCTTAAGGGGAAATTACACTAAAGGTGCTTTATGCAACTGATCTCAAAGATCTAGAAGGATTGTACAATGCCAACACACCCGAGAGATAGGAAGGGGCAAAATTATAAACTAGTAACAAGATCTTATAGCTAATTCTATATCGAACAAGCAACCATTTGGGAAATTTTAATAGCGGTGTAACGGACTCAAAGTTCTTGGCAGACTTGAGCATCCTGGCAGCAGCATTCTGTACTTTTTGAAGATGCAGCAATGCTCTGTTCTCAATTCCAAAATAAAGAGAATTGCAGTAATCTATTCACGAGAAGACCGTCGCCGTTATTGCCTTCTCAAAATCAGCAATTGATAAAAAAAGGTTTAGTTTTAGCTAAAAGACGAATATATAAAAAAAACTCGTCCTGACGACAAAGTTAAAGGGTTAGTTCACCCAAAAATTAAAATTAGGCCATAAATTACTCACCCTCAAGTCATCCTAGGTGTATATTAGGGATGCTCCGATCAGGATTTTTGCAGCCGATACGGAGTACCGTTTTTTTGTAATGGTGTTCGGCCGATACCGATACTGATGCTTCAAGCTTTATATAGACGGTTTCATCAGGCGCACGCACCTGGCTCGAAGTTAACTTCCGGTCTGTGTTTGTTTATCAGTCTGGCTATGGCGCCGGCTACAAACACAGTTAAAAGTTAAGGTGATGAGTAGACCGATGTTGGGCTCAGGTGGTTGTGCTGTGGGATGTGTTTCCCATACATTTATTTATTTGTGGCACTCGCCGCAATATCAAAACTGACCGATTTTCCAAAAGGCTTCGTTGAATAAACATGAGCACTGCACGTTTAAATATCAAAACGAGGCGCGGGTGTTTTTATATCACTGTATTTCTGAAGGAAGACTAGCTTTAGAAAATTTTCACTGTCATTTTAATTTCATCTTGCACGTTATATGCCTGATAAAGCAGTGTTTGTGAGCTCAGCGCTGCTTTGTGTACACAGCCGTTACTGGGGAAACCTCCGTTTCTCCTGCTTTAAAGCACCTCCTACTGGCAGAGAATGAATTTTGCATTTACAGTAAGTCCGTCTGATTTACGCAGCAAACATATTTTGTTTTTCCACGGGTCAAGTAATAAAAAATACATTCGGATTATTTGCGGGTGGATAAAATAAATCATAAATGATGCAAATATTAAAGCTGCAGTCCGTAACTTTTTTTGGTTAAAAATGATCCGAAATCAATATTTGAGCAAGTACATAATCAGCCAGTGTTCAAAACTATCGCCTTTAGTCCGATTCACAACGGTTAGCTTATAATAATGTTTTCTGATTTGAGTGGTACGGGTAGGTTTTCGCTGGAAATTCTAGCATGCTGCCGCGTCATTGCGTCATGTCTGTAAACATAAAGAAGTTGTCCCGGCTACTAGGCTATCGCATGTGAGGATCCTGCAGGTGACGGATCGTTTATAGCCTTTTCTCACAGCAGCTGGAATAATTAAATTGATAATTTTGATGGTGGATTGTAATCCATAAAGGATTATGTGTTTATGAAACACATGTGAATGAAATTAAATTATATTCCAGTTATTCGCCGACCTCATACGTCATCCGCCCGGAGCTGCTTCTGTGTACAACTGTTGGCGGAAGCTAGATTAAAATGATTATTACGTTTTGAATATGGATATTTGTCTTACAAAAATGCATAGATTCGCTACAGGAGGCCTTTGTTCACCCCACGGAGCCGTGTGAGACACTTTTTATTTAAATGGATGGGCGCTTTTTATTTCACTTCTTTTGGACTGATGCATGCTACACCTGCTGAGTGGCATTAAACCGCTTGAAAGATCAAAGACAATTTTTAATATAACTCCGACTGGATTCGTCTGAAAGAAGAAGGTCATATACACCTAGGATGCCTTGGGGGTGAGTAATTTATGGGCTAATTATCATTTTTGGGTGAACTAACCCTTTAATTTGTTTATCCATTTTTAAGTCTGAGTCCAGAACAAACCCTACATTTTTTACACTAGTTGTAATTAAACCAGACAGAGCGGTAGATTTTAAGCATTCAGCCACTTCCTGATTTCTAGGGCCAAGCACTGACCTCGGTTTTATAATTTAATTTCAAAAAGTTTGCAGCCATCCAGGCTTTGATGTCCTGTGTACAGGCCAATAAACAGGAGTAAAGAAATACATGTAACGTCGTTACGTATTTAAAATACAAAATATGAGTAACTGTATTTTTGTTATAGTTACATTTTAAATGGGTGGTACATCTTGTAAAAAGGGGCATAATAGGTGCCCTTTCCTCGACCAGTTGACCGAGGGGTATTGAAGTACGAATAACCCTGCGGCAGAAGTTCAGTCATCCGAGGCAAATCTCCTACCTTCAACCAGGTCTCAGAGAGAAACAAGAAGTCCAGCTTGCTATTCGTGATGAAATCATTCACGATAAAATTTTATTTTCGATGGAATGAAAGTTGAGCAACGCCATTTGCATCGGCGCTTCGTCGCTGGGCATCTGCGGCTCATGGCTCTAAAGGGCTGCCAGTCACCAAGCAGCGACTTGCTAGATAGTTGTTGCTATAGCCCTGGCTTATGCCTCAGTGGGCTTACAGTGTCCTATTGGTGTAAGAGCCCATTCCACTAAGGGAATGGCTTCTTCCTGGGTTTGGTCCAGCAGAGTTTCTGTTGGTGATATCTGTGTGGCTGCCGCCTGGTCTTTGCTGCCTAGCTTAATCAGGTTTTATAACTTGGATGTCCCTGCCCTCCAGGCACGGATTTTGTCCACCTAATTGAACTAATCCCCTCTGTAAGCGGAGAAGGTCTTATGTAGACCCAAGTGGCTTGGAGTGTTTTCAACCACACTATATGGCTGCAAATTCTTACAAATGAAATACACCACCAACTCCGTCATTTTCTTTGCAAAAGATGAGGTAGATGGAAGCTTGTTTGTGGTATTATCCAGTGTAGTTGGCCTTGAATCAACAGGTTTTGGTTGAGGTGCGTGGGGTCCTGTGATAAAGTGATAAAGCAAGTTGGTTGTATTTCCTGAATATTTCAGTGTAGCCTGGCAAAGCTCACAAATGGCATTTATCTAATTCATTACTCCCTGACTTATTTTTAAAACCAAAGTGCACCCACACATTGGCTCTGAAAGCTGGAGGAGCTCTTATATTTTGCTCCCGCTTACTTCTGAGACATTGGCCATGTGTATATGAATATATATGAAGGGCAATTGTTAGCTTTGTAAACAGTTTTTCCTCCTTCCGTTTTAAAAAAAATCTCCGCCCACATGCAAACGCATGCTATGAAGCACTGTCAAGAGCATGCCAAACCAACAGGTGGCAATATAATCTCAACCG